AAAAAAAAAAAAAAAAAAAAAAATCAAAAATTAGTCGGATGTGGCAGCACACTCCTGTAATTCCAGCTACTTGGAAGGCTGAGGCGGAAGGATTGCCGGAGCCCAGCTGGTTGAGCCCTCCAGTCTGGTCGACAGAGTGAGACTCCAACTCAAAAAAAAAAAAAAAAATTATGGTATATCTGTAACAAAGAATTATATAACTATTAGTTCCCTCCCCTCATATGGAACAATATTTAACTAAATGTTCTGTATATTCATTCTTTAGAGCTTTTGCATTTGGGGGGGTAATAAATATGAATTTCTTTTAAAATTGTAAAACAGTAAAAGTTACTGTTTTGATACACATACACAAAATTTTAAAATAATGCAGCTATGTGTTGGTCTCCTCTCAAGAAGAGATTCTGCAGGACAGGAACCTCATCTGTTGCTATAGAACATAATACCTACTCAGTATTTATTGAATTAAAATTCTCAGTCCAAATATCTGATATAAATAAATAAATAAATAAATAAAATAACACAGCTAATTTATTTTATATTCAGTTTGAAGCTATGTTGATGTTAGAAATGATTATAAGTATTGGATTTCAAAGAAGAACATTATTCTAATGAAAAGATCCTGAGTTATAAAACCAAGTTGCTACTACCAGCTCTGAAAATAATTTGCTAGCTCTATAAGCTCAGGCAAGTGATTTAACTTTTTTGAGCTTTGATTTTGCGTTTTTTTTTTTAATTTTTATTTTAGAGATGTGGGGTATAATTCAGGATTAGGTATACAAATGGTCATTGTACAGGTAAAGTTTGGACCTCACTTTGGCCCCCATATCACCTGGTTTGAGATCAGGTATCCTTGTTGAGGAAGTGTGCACCCCTTGCTCCTTCCGCTGGCCGTTTCCCACATCTGCCAATCCCTTTCTTATAATATTATGATAATTGTTCAGGGTCCACTTATGAGTAAGAACGTGTGGTACTCAGTTCTTTGTTTTTGTGGTAGATCACTGAGTATTACAGACTCTAAATCTATCCAAGTTACAGCAAAGTTTATAATTTTGTCTTTCTTTATGGCTGCATAATATCCATCGTGTGTATGTACCACATTTTTTTAGTCCAGTCTACTTTCGATGGGCAGCACAGTTGGTTCCATGTTTTTGCTCTTGTAAATAGTGCTGCAATAAACATGCATGTGCAGGTAGTTTTTTAATAAATAAGAATTACTTCTCTGTAAACATGTCAAATGAAAAAGAGTCAGAATAATTGGCATAGAAAAGATTCATAGCTTGGTGTGGTGGTAAGAAGCAAAATCTTCTTCAGTACATTTGTCATCTTTTCATGAAAGATAGAAAACCCCTTACCAACAGAAACTCAAATTTCCAGTCAGAAATGTGAACAGAAGTTTAAAAAAAAAAAAAAAAGAACAGCAAACAGTATACTTTCGCTTCATTAAAGGTCAAAATGTGGAGGTTGATATCGTTTTCTTAACCCATTGTTGAAACAAGACAAATTAATGATAAATGTCTAAGAAATGGTTTTAAGTACTCCATATGGTTTCAGACAAGATGGAGTAGACAATACTTCTCCCTGTTCATCCCCAGAGTACAGTTAAAAACCCTGGACAATATATGTAAAACAAACATATGAAGAGTTTGAGAAGTGGAGAAAAGAAAGCAGACTAGAGACCTTGAGACCAGAGGGAAAATATGGAAGTGAGTTCCCTGGGTTTTCTTTTTGCCTCATATATCCTAGACTGGGTGCTGGGGCAGTCAGGAACCTAGAAATACCAGTGGACTCAGACAAAATATAAAAGGCCAAAGAAAAGCCTACTCTCTTTAGCAGAAGGACCAGAAGAGGGGAAACCTAGCAAGACAGAAAACTTTCAGACACTAAGTGCCCTATTCTAGTCAGATGCCACAGAAAAAGCTGTAGCCTCACTCCCATCTCCATCAGCAAAAGTTCAGTGTGGAGCCCAGACTTCTGCCCTCACCTAGCTATAACTAGGCACTCCTGGCTTCCTGCTAGGGCAATGTCAGAGAAGTCTAGTGGGGAGCCAGAACTTTCACCATCTCAGAGGTGCCATTGATGACCACATGGGGAGCCTGTACTTAACCCCCACTCAGTAGTAATGAGACATTCTATCCCCTCCCTGCCAGCAGGAAAGCTGGGACTCTAACCACCATCCAGAAGTTTAATAAGCTTTTCTTTCCTACTGTCCCATTCTACATTGTCAGTCAAGGCCATGTGAGAAGCCATAATGAGGCAGCCAGAATCATTGCAGAAGCCACAATCAGTGTAGCAGAGGCTTATAGCGATCCTGAACTCACTCGCCGTCATCCAGCAGTAAGGAGATACACCATCTCCCTGCCCCCCAGATGCCAGTGGAAGGTCCAGTAGGCACCCTGAACTTACGCCTCCTTCTGCAGGTAATGAAGCAGCACCCTTCTTTCCCCACTAGCATAGTGCTAGCATGGTGCTATGCTTTGAATGTTTGTGTTCCCGCAAAATCATATGCTGAAATCCTAACCCCCAAGGTGATTGTATTAGGAGACAGGGCTTTTAGGAGATAATTAGAGCCATTATCAAGTAAGACTAAGGGAGCTGTTTCACCCCTTTCACCATGTAAGGACACAGCAAGGAGGTGCCATCAGTGAACCAGGAAACAGATGCTTGTCAGACAGTGAATCTGCTGGTGCCTTGATGTTGGACCTCCCAACCTCCAGAACCCTGAGAAATACGTTTTTGTGTTGTTTTTAAGCTATCCAGGTTATAACATTTTGTTATAGCAGGCTGAACAGACTAAGACACATGGTGCCAGAGGAGGACTGCTAAAACAGTAGATTTAAATAAGATTGAGTCCCATGATATACTAGGATACAACTGAGTATTATCTCTTATACTAAGAATCAGGAAAATCTTTCTTGAGTGAAAAGAGACATTCAACAGATGCCCAGACACATAGAAATTGAAATTATCTGACAAGGAATTTAAAGCATTCATCATAAAAAATCTTTATTGAGTAATTACAAATATATTGAAACACATAAAAATACAAACTCAAAGCAAAGAAATAGAAACTACAAAGAAAAAGCAAGTGGAAATTCCAGATGTGAAAAATTCCAGTATCCAACATTTAAAACTCAGTGAATGGGCTCCATAGCAGAGTGAAGTGGTCTGAGGAAAGAATAAGTGAACTTGAAGATAAAACAATTTAGAAATTACCTCATCTGAATAAGAAAAAATACAATGGAAAACAAAATGAATACAGCCTCAAGGACTTGTGAGACAATAACAAAAAGTCTAAAATTCGTGTAATCAGGCAGAGCATGATGGAGAGTGCCTGTAATCTCAGCTACTTGGGAGGGTTGTTTGAGGCCAGGAGTTTGAGACAGCCTGAACAACACAGTAAAACCTCATTTCTAAAATATATATATATATATGTTTTTTGAGTTGGAGTCTCATTCCGTCGCCCAGACTGGAGTGCAGTGGCCACTCCCGGCCACCG